GTGATCATCTGCCCCTTGCTTTGCTCCCCTAATACTTCCTGGTAGCTTATAAAATAATCATACTTGGAGTAAAAATAACTCTGTTTTCATGCTGAAGCCCTGAATGATGCAAATGCATCCTAGAATGCTAGGGGGAAGGTTTTAATTCACTCCAACTTCTATAGGTACAGGGAAATGCCTGACATTTCAAATTTTAGTACAACACAGAGGCCATGCTTTTACACCACATCCTCAGCAGTTGTATACAAGCTCCATAACACCTAAATAGGTAGCAAGCCTTTGATTTTTTTTCCCCCTAAAAACCTTGAGAAAATAGCATTACGAGAGCCACAGGCTAATTATATTTCTGATGTATGTGTTTTAATGACAGTATTTTTGATGAAACTCACTGGGGCAAACAGGTCTATTTAACAACTGTGATTCATCAAAGCTCAAGCTGCCAAAAGACTGAATGATCACAAACCGCTCCAACACGGGGCAAGGGAGGGAAGCACAGGTCACCAGCTCTTGGCTTTGCAGAATGGACAGTTCCAAATAGCTACAATCAGCAATGACCAGAAGGGACTGTGCCACCGCTGACTCAGGTCCCCACAACAGGCAAAACACGCATTTTAACCCCAGAACCTGCACGCCACACTTACCGCACCTCAAGGTTATTAAAAACTTCCTAGTAATAAGGAATAATGGCGTATCAACTTGTAGTGAAAAAAAAGGACAAAATCCTCTCTATTAACGATCATGCCTTCCAACAGTTCACTGTAATTTTATAACAAGTAATTTTATAACAATTAGTTAAGCATAAAATTTGACAATTTCAGATTAAATTTTTACAAGTCAACTCAAAATTTAGACTTCGCCTCTTCTGGGAGATGGCTGGAGCCAATGAAGACCATGAGCCAACTGACATGGTAAGGAAGTCAACCTCCAAGAAAATCTGCGAACTACATATCTTCCCCCCAAATTCTTTTTTTTTCTTTAGACCTTCTGGCTAACAAGAGAAATAATGCGAGACCAGCCGCTGACCTGAGGAGTCTTTTTGCCACGGAAAGGTTTTGGTGTAAGTCCTGACCCAGGAACAAACGCCAACCATTGCACGCAGGCCATCAGGGATGGCCACAGCCTTTTTCCAGGTTGGTCTACACAACTCCATGTGTTTGCACGTGTTCTCTTCTGTTTAACAAACACTAGCCGTTCCCTGCTGCTTCAAACACTGAAACTGCAAGAATTAAACTTGCTCCTTCCCTTGACCCCCAATAGTTTGTTACAGAATAAGGGAATTCGGCAACGCTGACCAGGAGATGCCCCCGGGGCACCTCGCGCCGCCCCCG